TATATTGGTACTACAGTATTTGTATGTACATGGACATATGTAGCATGTTACATGGGTTTTATGGCATCATCTGGGAATGAAGCAGTAGAGCTAAGGGAACATATGGTTATTAAAATGTAACATTTAAGTGTGCTGAAATTCACTTTAAGAATTTAAAAGTTACTTTTGAAAACAATTCAGATGTGTTTGCCTTCCCAAATTGTGTACCAAACTGTCAACTCAAGGTACATGAGGATGAGCACAGTCTTCCCTGCTCTCAGAGGGGCAGGTTGAAGCCTGGAAGAACAAACATTGTTGTGCTGTTTTGCTTGAGGCAGGGTGCCTCTTCATTGTCCATGCTGACCTTGAACTCCTGGGTTGAAGAGCGCATCCCCAAGCAGCCTCTTGAGTAGCTGGAACTGCAGGTGCACACCAGCACACCTGGTGTCTGAACTTCGTGTGTAATCGATGACACAGGATTGTTTTGGAAAGCACTTGGCATAGAGTTGTTATTGTTGATCTTAGCTGTTACAGTGTGAAATAAATCAGCTGACAGTGAGGTGGGAGCAGGCAACACTGAACAAAGACATTTCAACAGAAGTGCTGAGCATAAAGCTGGGCAGCCTGAATGAGCCCAGATACCAGGAGCTACAGGTAGTGTGAAAGGGCCAAGTCTCTCAGCTGATAAAGCTCCAGGTTATACAGAACATTGCGCTCTAGCTGGGTGGTCTGCAAATGTGAAGCGTCTAAAACCAACAAGGAGATGGGAAATGGAAAGCTGGCTGTCTAACCATAAGAAGCTGCCAGGCAAGGCTGCACTCAGGTGGCAGCACTGGGTACAGAGTTCCTTGTGGAGAGAAGAGCAGCGACGGCCATTGTGCTAAACCCCATGTGCCTCACACCACAAGACTGATGAGAGCAAGGGGACTGGGCAGTTCTACAAGACAGCGAGCTCCCTGTGACTCCCAGAAGCCCATTGACTGGGTAGATGTCGAAGGAGTGAGGGACACATGGAGCCAGGTCCTGCTCATGCTGAGATAACCAAAAATGTCTGGGTATTGCCAATATATATCCCTTGGGAGCCAAAACCAAGTAGTTCTGATACAGAGGATTTAAGCAAAGTAATGAGTGAGCCAGTGGATAAGGACAGAAATTTGTGCCTAGTAAAATGAAATGTAGATTCTCCTCAGTCTCATAAACACAACAAAATTGACCATATATTAGGCGCAAAGGAAAAACCCAAGTTTCAAACAAGTAAATCCCAGCTGGGTTGGTTTATCCAACCTGCAATCTTAGCACTTGGGCATGGGGGTAGGCAGGAGAATTCCTGTGAGTTCAAGGCCTGATAGGGCTACATAGGGAAACCTTGTCTCAAAATCAAGCTCCTCACCTTAAATAAAGACCAGGCAAGGTGACACATGCTTGTAATCCCAGCAGTAGGAAGTAGAGGCAGTATCAGGAGTTCAAGGTAGTCTTCAGCTGCATGAAACTCTCATCTCAAAAACAAACCAAAGGGGCTGGAGAGATGGCTCAGCGGTTAAGAGCACTGGCTGTTCTTGCAGAGTTCAGTTTCCAGCACCCGCATTGCAGCTAACAACTCTAACTCCAGTTCTAGGGGAATCTGATGCCCTCTTCTTGGGCATTGCACGACACAGGTGCACTTACATAAATGCAGGCAATACACTCATAAAATTATAAAAATAAACCCAAACAAATTCTGTAGTTTAGAGTCTGAAAGGAAAGCTGAGTGCACCTACCCAGAGTCCTTTCTGTATCTCTCTTGAAGAGATCAAAAACTATTTTCCAGACTGAGTGGTGGCAAACACCTTTAGTCCTGGCACTCAGGAAGCATAGGCAGGCAAATCTTTTGAGAGTTGGAGACCAGGTTGGTCTACATAGGGGGACCGTATTTCAAAAGCTATTTTCCAACTCTTGACAAGTGACTATATACATCAATTCTCAGGAGAAAGAAACTAAATCCATAAGTGCATTTACTAGAAAAAAGTAAGCAATTTGATATTACAGCTTAAAAAACTAGGAAAGTAAAATTCAAAGAGGGATGCATTTGATTTTTGCTTTTGATAAATCCTACTAAGAAATTAGAAAAAACTAAAAATTATGACAGGTTGAAGATGACAAATAGGAACACATCATATGTACTTTGGTGACAGTGACTGAGGAGCTGTGGGTAGTGTCTGAAGAAGGTAAAATCCGAGTTGACCTAGGTAGAGCATCTACTGCTCTGTACTGCTGTGTACCCAACACTGATGACGTCAGAGTCACTATGAGCAGGAACAGAGCTGCTTGTGTCTGTAGTGTGCAGAAGTTTGTGCCCAGAAGGAAAGGACCCCTCAGAAGAAGTCTGTCATAACTGGTCGGGATGGAAAGGAGGCATGCTTTGTTCTAGCTGCTGGTCAGAGGTCAGGGGTGACTCAGTGAGATGATGCTGTATGCAGTAGAGGAGTGGGAATTAAGCCATTCCAGACAGAAGTGGAAGCTGTGTTCAGAGGCCTGGGGAAGATGGTGTGGAGCTTGGAGGAACCCTGAAGTGGCTGGTTGGGGCCAGGAGGGAGAGGAAAGCAAAGTCCCAGTCAGCATTGGCTCTGCTCAGAATTATCTAGAGGCCAATAAGGATTCCCTGAAAGATCTTAGATATAGTCAGAAGTTTCAGAGGTCTCTCAAAGACTTGACAAAAGCAAGCAAGCACAGTCCTGTAGGACATGAGCCGTATCTTGGGCACATGGTGTCCTGATAGGACCTCGGAGGGTCTTGGGCAGCCTCAAGGGTAATCCTTACTTTCACACGGGGCACTCAAGGTACCTGCAAAGACTCACCCTGCACATTGCTTGACCTCCTGGGTATTGCTTTGAGATCTGGGTACAAGACTTTATGACCCTGTAACTCTTAGATTTTGTTGGGTTGTAAAGTGTGATTTATATGGAGAATGCCAAGGTCTCAGAAGTCTTAGGAAACTCAAGTGAATCTATACATCCTTAAGTGGGGAATAGATGGAGTCAGGAAAATTCCTGAGGTGTTCTCAACGTATCTTTTCCTTTTAATCCTTCTAGTTTTTCTACAATTATATTCTTGTTTGTAATTCTAAATAAGCTCATTTTCCCCAAATCTTTATCTAATGGTTTTTGCCCACAATTCTTACTGTAAACTTGGAATAACCATGTCACAGGCTGACTTCTGGCTGCTGGGACTCTCCTCCCCTAGGTTAATTAAGCCATTCGCTTTAAATTTGTCCTCACATAGTCTCAGGCCGTGAGCGAGATGTAGGTAAGTTCTTTGCCAGAATGTAACACAAATGGTCTGTAATACAATTCCTAGTTAGAATCCTCTTTCCTATCTGAAGCCACATGAGCACAGTGCTACTCCACTTTCCTGTCAGCCTTCCACTCTGCCCATACCATTCTAGAGCTTCCTACTCTCATCTCCAAGCATTCCAAATTCCTCCACAGACACATTCCAAAGGCTTGGAAACCACATGGTCAGGTAGTCACAGTAATGCTCCAACTTCTTGGTGCCAGTTACTGTGTCAGGGTTTTCATCACTGCAACAAAATACCTTGACATTCATAATTTAAGAGACGAAGGATTTATTTTGACTCACAAATTCAGAAGTTTTACTCTATGGTTGGCTGGATCCATTGCTTTTAGGCCCATGGCAAGACAGAAACATCATGGAAGGCCATGGTGGAGAATTACTGCCGGCAAGCAGAGAAGCAAGGGTCAGGTTAGGTGTACCTTTTAAAGGCGTGCCCCAGGCACCTATTTCCACCTATGAGGCCCACCTCTTAATAGCCCTTTTGTTATGAATTCATCAGTGGACTAACCCACTAATGAAGTCAGTACCCTCATGACCCAGTCACTTTCAGTTGTATCTCCAGCTGAGGATCAAACATTTAAAACATGAGCCTCTTGGGAGGACACTTCAAATCCTAACCATAACACCAATTCATGGTGCTTCCCTGATCAGCCACCTTGACCGCTAGCTAATTCAGATTTTGAAAAACACCATAGTTCATAAATCAAGATTAACATGCACCAAAGTTACAAAGTTATTGAATCCTCTCCTGACTTCCTTGTGAATTCTGTTTTAGAAGCAAAATTGTTATATTCTCAAACAGTGTTATATAAGAAGGAACTGAAGGACTTTGGAGCTAGAGAGACCTCAGGAAACTGGTTAACCTCTTGGTATGTGTTCCATTGATATGAACCTTACCCATTTTCAAAAGCTGCTAGATTATCTGGTCATTTGTAGTGCAAACCCAGTAATTCTTAGTAAAACAACCATCTACCATGTGCACCCTTTCTCTGGACTAGGGGTTGGAAAAGGCACAGAGGGAATGACCTGGGAAGACGAGAGTTGGGGTGTCTTGGTCACTGAGAGATGGGATATTTTCTTAAATCTGCCAGGTGATGACTGTCAGCTGTAACCTGATCAGGGGATGTTGACCTTGGCACCTCCCCTTAGACATTCCATGTGACCTGGGCTTCCTCATAGCTTTATGGGTTTCCTTACAGCCTTGAAGAGAATTGCCTGCAGAATTAGTGGGTCATACAGACAGACTCAGGGAAGCTCCCTTACAGCCTGGTGTGGGGGAGGTTGCTCATAAAATCAGGGTCATCTTCACAGCTGAAGGGAGTGGAGGGTCTTCCTTCAGTCTTGTGATATACAGATTCAGGAGACTTTGTCACAGCCCTGGTGGCTTCCACCCTTAAGGAAATGTTAGTTTCCTTTCTCAGTGCTATGAGCAATACCTGACAAGGAGCACTTTAAGGGAGGAAGAGTTTATTTTGGCTTACGGTTTGAGGGTACACTCCTTCACAGGAGGGGAGACATGGCAGTGCAAGTGGCTCTCTGTTGTGAGAGCTGCAACCCCATTTTTTTGTTGTTGTTTTTGGTCTTTTTTGAGACAGGGTCTCCCTGTAGCCCCAGCTGTCCTGGAACTCACTATGTAGACCAGGCTGGCCTCGAACTCACAGAGATCCGCCTGCCTCTGTCTCCCAAGTTGGTTTGTAGTCGCCATGTGGGTGCTGGGAATTGAACCCGGGTCCTCTGCAAGAGCAGTCAGTGCTCTTAACCTCTGAGCCATCTCTCCAGCCCAGATTTTTATTCTCTTAAGAGTAGTTGGGATGGTATCTGTGTGGCTTACAGTGGCATCTACCAAGAAAAGCCATGGAATCTGCATCAACCATTAGGATCAAAGGCGTGCACCAAAGTAGCAGATGCCAGGTCAGGCTGTGCAGTGCTGCTTAGCCTTTTGGCATCCACCAGCTAGTGCAGGTCCAGTGAAGTCAGCAGCAGCTGCGGGAGAAGCTACAGACTGATTAGGAGCTCATCTGGTGGAGAACCCACAAAGCCGTCCCAAGAAGACACCAAACAAAAATGGGTGAGGGTGGGGACTTGAAGGGAGGAGGGGTCTGTGCTCTGGTAAGGGACGACCTGGGACTGTAAAGACTCACCCCTGTACTTGCTCATGAGTCTATAACAGTTGTTGTGAAGTTGTTTTTTGACAGCGGCGACTTCGTTTGTTTACCGCTCCAACCCAGCGCTTGGGACAGGACCCAGCAAGGAGAAAGGCCTCGGCAGATCCGCAGAGCGAATGGTGGTACCAGGAATTGCGGTCGTGGCTCCGTGCCGTGCCTTCCCGCTCACAGACTGCTGCGGATGAGCCACACTGCCTTTGGGTTTACACTCATGTTTAATGATTACGTGGTGCATGGTCGTGTTGGTCTCACCATTCCCCTAAGGCTGGGTATGCAGAGTCTGTTTCCACGTTTTATTATTGTGAATAAAAGACATCTTACCATTCAGCTTCTCTTGCCATGAATTTTCTGTTGTTTATTCTGAGAATCGAATCCTGAACTTCAACATGCATGAAGATTTGCATGTGCTAAGCATGTGTTCTCCTACTGAGCTGTACTGCAGACCCTTACTATGAACTTTAAATGATTCTGAGTATAAAATATATTATTTGAGGTTATTTTTAAATATTTTTTTATGTGTATGCATGTATTGCCTGCATTTGGTAAGTGTACCCGTGTCATGCAACACCCGTGGAGGACAGAAGAGGCTGTCGGATCCCCTGGAACTGGAGTTACGGATAGTTGTTAGCTGCCATGTGGGTGCTGGGATTCAAATCCGGGTCTTCTGCAGGAACAGTCAGTGTTCTTAACCGCTGAGACATCTCTCCAGCCCCCCGTTGAGGCTATTTTTAAAACTGTTTTATCAAGGTTACTGTTACAGACATGATGAGGTTTTTTTTGTTTCATTTTACTTTGTTTTTGTTTTTGAGACAGTGTCTTATTATACAGACTGGGCTGGTCTTGAACTCACAAGAATTCTGCCCACCTCTGCCTCTGGAGTACTGGGATAAAAGGCATGTGACACCATGCCTGGCCAGGCCCAATGAGTTTTTAGTCGGTTGGTTGGTCGGATGGTTGGTCGGTCGGTCGGTCGGTCGGTCGGTCGGTCGGTCGGTCGGTTGGTTGATTTTTTTGACACCAGGTCTCCCTGTAGCCCTAGGTGGCCTGAAACGCTATGTAGACCAGGCTGGCCTCCATCTCACAGAGAACTACTTGCCTCTGCCTCCCAAATGCAGGATTTAAAGGTGTGTGCCACCATACCCAGCTTTTGAATTATCGTTTTAAATTTAGTTAATATAATCTTTTCCAAGATATCTGACTAAGGGGCTGGAGAAGATGGCTCAGCCATTAAGAACACTGGCTGTTCTTTCAGAAGACCCGGGTTTGAATTCCAACACCCACAAAGCAGCTAACAACTGTCCATAACTCCAGTTCCAGGGGATCGTACACCCTCTTCTGTCCTCCTCGGGCATTGCACCACAGGCAGTACATTCATACACATAAGATAAAAAAATAACATTTTTAAAAGTCTAAGTAAAATCTTAGGCAGATCTAGTAGGTTGGAATTGCACACCCATTGGCTCTCAGGTGCTCAGATTTTATAAAGCTGTCCACCAAGAAGAGAGTTGTGTTGTGTGGGGTGGAGCCCTGGCTTTGCTCAGGGCAAGGATGCCTGGCAGTCTCTCGACGTGGATAAGGAAAAGGGTATAAATAATCTTGGTTACTAGAAATGTTACAGAATCATGATAAAGCAAACTATTAATTTTTTAAAAATGATGTCATAAGAAAGTTTCTCATTTAAGTTGGAATCAAGGTCAGAATCTAAGATTAACTTGCCAAACTTTCTTAATTATTACAAAATATTTTGTCTTAATCTGTTTGCTATTGCTATAACAAATTAACTAAGACCAGTAATTTATAAGTAATACAACTTTATTTGGCTCATGGTTCTGGAGGCTGGAAAGTTCAGTGCCTGGGGATGGCCTGGTGCTGTGGTGTAACTTGGCAGAGGGCAGCACATGCTGAGACAGCAGGCTAGCCCAGCACTCACTCTCTCTGTGTTAAGACACTAATGCCATTAATAGGTGTCTACCTTCATTATCTACATAATCCTGATTGCCTCTCAGAGACCCCACCTTCAGATAACATTACTGTGAACTGGGGAGTTAAGTTTCTAACACATGAACTTTTGGGGAGCACATTTCAAACCATAGCACAGCTTTCTTGCCAAAGAGATTGTTCTAACACCAAACACTAAAATGTTAGAATATAAGCTTTCATTATGTGTAAAGACACCTTGGTGGACTGTCCCTTCCGGAGCTTCCCTTCATCCTTTGATAACTTTAAACTTAAAAAGTATTTTGCTTTGAAGCTGGGCATGGTGGCGCACGCCTTTAATCCCAGCACTTGGGAGGCAGAGGCAGGCAGATCTCTGTGAGTTCAAGGCCAGTCTGGCCTACATAGTTCCAGGACAGCTGGGGCTGCAGGGAGACGCTGTCTCAAAAAGACACACACACACACACACACACACACACATACACAAAAGTATTTGCTTTGAATTTCAGACACAGACAAATTACAAAGATCATACAGATTTTCCAAGGTGCACCTTCTCCAGTTTTGTTGGTTTTCCCTCTGATGGTGCTGGGAGTCGAACCCTGGTCCTTGTGCATGCTAAGCAGGCACTCTACCACTGAGCCCTTCCCCAAATCAGCATTTTACTCGTCTTGCTTTGTTGTGTTTGCTGTGTCTCTTACTCTGTGTAATAGATATAAACATACACATTTAAACATGAGAAAACTGCAGATCTGATGTCTGTCTCTGGCGACAGACCAAAATATGCATTTCAGAACAAGGACTCTCCTAACTGACCCCAAACATGATTGCCAAAGTTAGGAGGGTAGCTTTGATACAGTGCTGCTGTCTCCTCTGACTTACTCAAATTTTAGCATTTGTCTCAGGAATGAGATTCCTTAGCCAAGAGCACTTGTCGCAGACCCGGTCCAGAGGCACACATTGTACTGCTGTTTGAGGCGCCGTCAGCCCCTTGAAATGAGCGCTCTGAAGAGCACTGGCCATTTCTTTTGTACTGTACACAGGCCAGGGTCACCAGACACCTCCTGGCCGTGGTGTACAGTTTAGTCGGATGTTGGTGGTGTTCAGAAATGAACAGCGAGGGAACTAGCCAAACCACTTGATGGGGTTTCTTGTAAGAGCGGGGACTGCAGAGGCAGCCACAGAAGTACCATCACTGTGCATCTGGGAACATGGCCCAAGTATCAGTCACAACTTATGTTTTGGTCAAGAAGGGTGATAGAATTCAAACATGACCATCTAGCCACTGGGACAGTAATTGATGTTTCAGGTAAGAATCCCTGGAAAGCCAGGCGTGGTGGCACATGTCTTTAATCCTAGCACTTGGGAGGCAGAGGTAAGAGGGTTTCTGTGAGATGGAGGCCACTCTGGTCTACATAGTGAGTTACAGGCCAGCTGGGGCTGCAGAGAGACCCTCTCTCAAAAAAAAAAAAAAAAAAAAAAAAAAAAAAAAAAAAAAATGAGTTCCAGGCCAGCTGGAGTTACATATGAAACCCTGTCTCAACACAAAGCCAAACAAACCCCTCCCAAAACAGTGGCACAAACCAACTCTTTTTGGACTTCATCCATACTTTTTTTTCTTAATACAGGTCTTAAAAGGTGTGGCTATCCTGGAGGAAGCATGTCACTGGGGATGTGCTTAGAGAGTTCTTAAGCCTTGCCGTATCTCCAGTTGCTCTCTTGCTTCCTGTGCCTGTGTGATGATGTGAGAGCTTAGCTTCTGCTACTCCTGCTCCAGCCACCTCCAGCCACCACGCCTCCCTGCCATGCCATGATGGACTCCATAAGCTCAAATAAACTCTTCCTTCTATAAATTGCTTTGGTCAGTGTTTCTGTCACAGCAACAGAAAAGTGGCTAACACAGATACCCTGATATTCTCCTTTTTTTTTTTTTTTTTGGTCTTTTTGAGACAGGGTCTCCCTGTAGCCCTAGCTGGCTTGGATTCACTATGGAGACCAGGCTGACCTTGAACTCACAGAGATCTGCCTGCCTCTGCCTCCCGAGTGCTGGGATTAAAGGCGTGCGCCACCACGCCCAGCAATACCCTGATATTCTAATCACAAGTGGAAACAGCAGCTTGACAGTGGAGAGACCTGATGGGAGCATGGCCACTAATACAAGGTGTTGAATCATGGGTCTCCCCATAGGATGCACTGGGAAAGGACTTGGGTGCAGGCCTTTCATCTTAGAATTGGTGATTTCAGAGCTTTCTCTTGTCCCCACTTCTTTACCTATGTATTTGTATTGCTAAAGAAAACACCCAGCGGCCTTGTGAAAGACAGTAAGGCAGTTGCTCCAGGAGCACCTTAGTAGGTGCGGGGACCAAGCAGGGAGCTTTGCAGTGGGGAAGAGGCTGGCTTGCCTCACAGTGTAGCAAGAGAATGTGGGGGTTTACAGCCCAGGAGCACGGTTCTGCATGGAAAGTCAGTACAAGGTGTTGGTGAGGGAGATCTAGCTAGCCTGACTTGACAGGGTTCCTGCCGAGGGTAGGCCAGGGTCACCAGGCACCTCCAGGCCATGGTGATGGGGGGGGGGTGTTTAATCAGGTATGTTGGCGGGGACTGCAGAGGCAGCTGCAGAACAGAAGGGAGCTCTGCTTCGAAGGGTGTCGACCTGCCTGAGTCTGGCCTGGTTAGGGGCTGCCAACAGCAGTGTACATGCACACTCGTACTCCACTTCAGCTGTGGGCCTAGGAGAGCTGCGAGGTGCTTTGTCCTTTGAAGTGTCCCCTTAAGTTCTGAGCACACGTTCTAGGCTTAGGTGGCTGTTCTCTGAATTGAATGAGCCTTTGGTTCCTTCCGTTGCAGAGTGATGACGCCTGTCAAGCAGCTGGCACTACGTGCTCATTGATGTTGTCCCTTCTGTCCCTTTCAGTGGAGGAGCCAGGCAGTTATGTGAAGGTTTCATCGGACAGGTGTGTAACACACATGGATACATACAAAATGCACACGTCATGCCTGCTTATGTACTCTTCAAGGCCGGGGTGCACACTGACACTTGGCCTTTCTACAGAGCGCCTTGAGGCCATCTCCGTACTGTCACTGAGGAGCTTGGCTCTGAATATCTCCTGTATTTGTTTTCCTAGACTGGCGCCTCCTTGGTCTTAAAATCCTCCAGCATATTTAACTTTCTTCACCTACAACATGAGCCCACAAGATACGCCTCTGAGTCCTCCACTCAGCAGCAGGCAGCTCTCTGTAGGCCCTGCTGCAGGTTGGCAGGCAGACTGACCAGGTGTGAAGAGGAAGTGATAGCGCTACTCTTGGAATAGCAAAGAGCGGTTTCAGAGTTGAACTCGCCGTGTGCAGGTTGGGAGAGGAATGACCTGAATCTGCCTTATTTTTCCTGCTTCGTAACCGAACATCCTCCGTGCTCTCAGAGTGGTGGGAGAGCACATGGTGTGTGTGTGTGTGTGTGTGTGTGTGTGTTTGTGTGCGTGCATGTGTGTGTGTGTGCGTGTTTGTGTGTGTGTCTGTGCATGTGCGTGCATATGTTCTGGTAGGAGAGAGGCCTCTGGGTCAGCCCTGGTCCCCCACACCAAGTCCCCTTTTGTGTGCAGCACAGTTGTAAGAAAAGAGCTGCACAGTTGTGACACTGGGAGCTGGTGTCTGGTACTGAGCATGGGCCCTGGTGAGAGCAGAGGGTCCCTGCTGTGCCCTGGGCTGTGGGCACGTCTGCTTAGGGAAGCTCCCGACCTTCTCTGTTCTGGAGTGCAAGCACGCACACATGCACGCTCAACTAAATCTTTCTGGGTTGTTACACTGACCCCATCTTCCCAGGTATGTTCGTTGGTCATCTTTTAGCCAAGTTTGCTTAGGAAGCCTCCTCAGTGAGACTTGAAAATATTCATGGAAAACCAGCAGGACTGCTCCTGCTGTGTGCTGTTGCCCTCCAGATCTCTCTGGTGCTTACATGGGAAGTGTCAGTGAGAGCTTTCCAGAAGCTGGCACAACTACATGGAAGCCAGTATGCTTTGGAAGCAGTGGAGGACTAGCGTCGTCTACTCCCTGACATGCACTTCTGGCCTGATCTGGCTTTTGATGTAGCACTGCCCTGTGGTGTTGGTTCTAGGCTCTGCCCCCAGAAGAAGTGCCTCGGTGCGTTCGCAGCAGAGGCCCATGGACTGGTCACTCAGCAGGGCCAAGGAAGGGAGTCATCCCTCTAAGGGGGGCCAGTGTCTCCTAGGTCAGCTTATTTGGATGAGTCATTTAAAGTACTTCTATGTCTTAGAGGTCTCAGACCTTCAGAGCTTTGCACCTTTACTTGGCTGATGGTTAGAGAGCTCCGTTTCCCAGGCTCTGGGATTCTCAGTCTCTGGAAAGACTGCCAGCTCCAGTTGCCTTTTCTGTAAGGTGGAGTTCATGTGTGCCCGCTGCGTGTGCCTTTTCCGTAAGGTGGAGCTCATGCATGTTCACTGCGTGTGCCTTTTCTGTAAGGTGGAGTTCATGTATGCTCGCTGCGTGTGTTGGAGTGAGAGAAACGGCACTGGCCTAACTGACAAGAACTTAGGACAAGCCCCTTTCCCTCCAGCAGCCTTTGTGCAATGCAGATGCTAGTAGAGAACAGAAAGGCCCCAGGCCTGCGCAGTGTCTTTTCCTGTCCATCTCTATGGAAGTGTCCTGAAAAAGAGGTAGCTTTTCCTTATCTCCTTTTTTCTTACATGAACAATGTTGTTTTGGGGTCCTTTTTTAGGAAGTCTACTTGATGTTGTGAGCCAGAAGCTTCCCTTTGACTTAGAGCCTTGCCTCAGCCCCACAATCCATCACCACTTCATTACAATAATAACAATTTAGGACCAGTGAGATGTGCTTGGCACGTAAGCCTGGCAACCTGAGTTCAATTCCCAGAACCCACTTGAAGGTAGACAGAGAGAATTGACTCCACAGTTACCTCTGAACTCTATGTGTGTGCCAGACATGTGCTCACTCACACATGACATCATGCACATCACACAATGATAATATATAATAAAGACTTTAAAAGCCATCAAAAATTTAACTCTGCTATACTTAGAGCAAGAGTGCATGGTGTCACAGCAAGCAGAGCTGGAAAGGGCCTTGGGCCTTGAGGGACAGAGTCAGAGCTGGAGAGGGTCCTTGGCCTTGAGGGACAGAGTCTGAATAAGCAGTTGAAACTCCTGCCTGCCAGAGATGAGTAGAGGCTGTTGTTTGAAGGCCTCAGAGAGACTCCCTGAACTCTGAGTGGAGGCCAGGCTCACTGGGGAAGCTGTGGAGGAGGTAGTGTGGGTGCTGAAGTCTGCTCATAGCTAGCCATGCACACAGACCAGGAGAGAGTAGGGGCAGGGTTCCTAGGCAGGGCAGGACCTGTGATGGGAGAGTGTGGGTACAGGGAAGGAAATAAGATGGTTGTTTCAGGGTATATGCTTGGAGGTGGGGAGGGTGGTGGGCTTAGGCCAAGACAGCTTTATGGGGAGCCACGTGACCAGATTTGCATTTAGAAAGCCTGGAGAATGGACTGGAGCAAAGCCAGACTCACACTCTGATAACCAGGTAGATGCTCCAGTGACAGGGCCTGAGGGGACCGTGCTGTGCTGGAGTCAATGGCTGGAAGGGCAGGTAGAAGGTAAATTGAAGAGAAGTCAGGATTTAGAGGAAGACCAGACTTGAATCAAGGCCCTTAAGGATGCTCAGGGAAAGTGCAGGTGTGCAGAGCCTGTTTCAAGAATAGAGTTCAAGGGGTTTGAGAGATGGTTCAGCAGGTAAGAGCACTGGCTGTTCTTGCAGAAGACCCGGGTTCAAATCCCAGCACCCACATGGCAGCTAACAACTGTCTAACTCCAGTCCCAGGGGATCCGACAGCCTCTTCTGCCCTCCACAGGCATTGCATGACTGTACCTACCTACATGCAGGCAATACACACATATATGTAAAATTAAAATATATATATATTAAAAAGAAAAAAGAATAGGGTCCAAGCCATGCGTGGTGACACACGACTTTAATCCTAGCACTCAGGAGGCAGAGGCAAGTGGATCTCTGAATTTGAGGCCAGCCTGGTCTACATAGTGAGCTCTAGGCCAGCTGGGAATACAGGGAGACCCTATCTCAAAAAAAAAACAAAAAAAAAAAACAATTGCACTCCACCTTATGAGTGAGTGACTGTCTCGGTGATACCAGACTTCTGTTGAAAGTTTTCCCACCTTAAGTGTGTGCTCTGTTGGTAGGAGGCTCTTAGTGCTGGGGCTTGGGGCCATGGCTCTTGTTCTTGTCTAATTCCCCACAGGCTTTCTGCTGTTGGCTCAGCTTCCCCTTCCTGATCCTCAGGAAGTCCTTGGCATGGCTGATGTCGCCTGCTTAACATAGCTTCCGTGACACTACCTGGTTCTATCCGTGTTCCACCAGCTGCTATGCGTCTGAGGTGCTGTGTCCTCATACTCTGACCACCAGGCCATCTTGCACAGAGCTTCCTGTCTTCCTCTGGCTTCCTTCAGTCTCTTGGCTTTGCATCTGTGCATGTATGTGGTGGTTAGAATGAAAATGTCCCCCATAGGCTCCAAGTATTTGGACATGATAGTCCTATTTTGGGAGGTGTTAGAAGGTATGGCTATCCTGGAAGAAGCACGTCACTGGGGTGGGCTTAGAGAGTTCTTAAGCCTTGCCGGATCTCCAGTCACTCTCTTGCTTCCTGTGCCTATGTGATGATGTGAGAGCTTAGCTTTTTCTGCTCCTGCTCCAGCCACTTCCAGCCACCATGCCTCCCTGCCATGATGGACTATAATTCCCTGGAACCGTAAGCTCAAACAAACTCTTCCTTCTATAAATTGCTTGGGTCAGTGTTTCTATCACAGCAACAGAAAAGTGACTAATACAGTAACTGGTACCAGGAGTGGGCTGTTGACTGTGAAGAACCTGACCATGTGGGGTTTTGAAGAAATGTGGAAGACTTTGCAAGTTTGGGCTAGAAAAGCAGCTGATTGATGTAAGCAGAACTTAACAGGCCATTCCAGTAGGGGCCTGGAAGAAAGTAGTGCTGAGAACAATGTAGTTTCAGAGGGAAATAAGGACTTGAGCAGCACTTGGGATATTTTGGCAGTCTGTCTGGAGTCTGCCCTTGACCTAAAAGCTTGCCTGAGGCTAAGTTGAAAAGCAATGGACCCATTTCTCTGGTGGAAGAAATTTCAAGACAGCCTAATGTAGAAATGATGGCGTGGATATTAATGCTGAATATCATACAGATTTACAGTGAAAAAGAGCAAATGGGGCAGAAAGAAATACAAAGTGTACAGGATGGATTGAAAAAGAGCTCCAGGAAGATTAATGTTGGAGCCCCGGCATGTGATAGAGAGGATCCATTGATAGGGAGATTAAAGTGATTAAGGAGGGGCCTAGCGATTCAGACTTAAACAATGGAGAGAATGCCTGCAGGGCAAGACCACATCCAGAACATGTAAAAGCAAAATGCTGCAGGGATCACTGAAGAGAAAAGCTTCCAAAATGATAAAGCAGGCTGGGGTTGAACTTGAAGTCAAACTTGGCAGTGTCGTTCACCCGGTGCTGGCTTTAGAGGTATGAAAGATGCAAGAGTGAAGGGGTCACCAGTTCTTCCTCCGTGGTTTCAGAGAGCCTCGTGGCCAGGCAGCGTGAAGCAGGGGTTCCCCTGCATAGAGAAGGCCCTGGTAGGCCACTGCGTGAAGCTGTGATGGTGAAGCCTGGTGGGCTATGGAGACCCCAAGAAGACGTTCGTGATGCCAGAGCAATGAGGCATCTGCCAAGACCTGCACACAGGGAGTGGTACCAGCACGAGAGAGAGATGTGTGTTACACACAGCAAAGGTAGAGAGGCTGAGCCACCTAAGCCTTTGGAAGTAAAGTCCCAGGAGTTGGACGTGGAGCTACTGGATTTGTGTTTGTCCTGCTGGTTTTCGGTCTTGTTTTGGTCGGGTATTTCCTCACTGTGCCTCCATTCCTCCCTTTTGGAACAGTAACGGGTATTCAGTTCCACTGTATGTTGGGAGTATGTAACTTGTCTTTTGATTTTCTAGAAGCTTACAGCTATTTACCTGAGTCCACTTTGGACTGTGGACTTTTAAATAGTATTTATTAGGGTTTCAAACAGCAGCAGCTCCCCTCGCTCCCCAACAGGGTCCTATGGACTTTGGATTTTCAAGCCTAAAAAGGGAACTGAGCTGATAAGCGCCTTGGCCTTTGAAGTCAAGGGAAGCAGATTCTTCTAAGAGGCAGCCTGCCTTTCCTCTGATCTCCGAAGACAAGATAAGCAGATTCTGCCTGTTAACCAGAGATTTTAAGAGCTGTTTACTACAACAGCTTTTCCCTTGTCTTAGGAGGACAAAAAAGTAAACACTTCCTGACCCAGATCCTGGCTGGCAGACGGAACGGAGTCAGGTTTACAAGCCCTGCTTTTCCTGCTCCCCCCCCCGCCTGATTTTTCCCCCCCAAACTTCCCACCTTCAGCGCCTTGAAAGCCCCCGTATATAAGCCCCAGCTCATAATCCGTGGGCAAACATTTTCCTTTCCCCAAAGGGAACATGTCCCATGCGAAATAAAGCTCTATCCCGCTGAGAGTTTTATCTGTGTCCTGGTGCCTCCTCCTCCATTTGCTTGTTCTCTGCTAACTTTTTACCTCTCAGTATTGAGATTGATAAAGACTATGGGGACTTTTAAAGTTGGACTAAATACATTTTGCATTTTATATGGTTATGAGCCTTTGCAGCCAGGGGTGGAATGTGGTGGTTTGAATGAAAATGTCCCTCATAGGCCCCAAGTATTTGGACATTTTGTCCCCAGATGATGGTGCTCTTCTGGGAGGTTTTAGAAGGTGTGGCTATCCTGGAGGAAACATGTCACTGGAGGTGGGCTTAGAGAGTTCTTAAGCCTTGCCAGATCTCCATTCACTCTCTTGCTTCCCGTGCCTGCGTGATGATGTGAGAGCTTAGCTTCTGCTGCTCCTGCTCCAGCCACCTCTGCCACCAGGCCTCCCTGCCATGGGACTGTAATTCCCCTGGAACCGCAAGCTCAAATAAACTCTTCCTTCTATAAATTGCTTGGGTCAGTGTTTCTGTCACAGCAACAGAAAAGTGACTAATACAATGCCTGTATATTGGTTTACTAGGGCTGCTTTGCCAAATCACCACAAACTGGGTAGGCTAAGAATAGAATATTTGCCTAGCATGTGTGAGGCCCTGGATTTAATCCCCCATCCCAGAAATCTGTTCTCTCACAGTTCTGGAAATCCAGGATCAAGCACAGGGCTCCACTCCTTTGAAGACTCTAGGGAGGGTCTGTCCTTCCAGCTTCTCGTGACCCCAGCATTGCATTGGGTTCCTGGAATTGAGGTTCTATCACTCCAGGACGTCCTCTGTCTTCCTGATGAACGTGTCTCAAATTTTTCTCTCTCCTCTTACATCAACAACCAGTCACTCCATTCTAAATCCATAGCAATCTCATCTCAAGTCCCTTAGCATTGTCTCACCTGTAATGCCCTGTTTCTAAATCTGATCTGTGCTTGGGTGCAGGACATTGAGAGTGGCACGGCCTTGGGGAGAATGTGGTCATTTCCATGCAGACCTCCTGTACCCTAAGGATGGCCAAGTGATTCCAGCCTAGGCACCTCTGCCTTCATACTTTCCAAAGGGTATCTGAGCATTGCCTGTAGCCCAAGATATCCTCTTTGCTTCCCTCTGAATATGAGCTACTCCTTACCTGTGTACTCATCTTGAGGCCTTCTGGGGCTCTGCTCTTGCAGTGCTCAGGTGGAAAGCTTAGACTCATCCCTCCAGAGGAGGGACAGGGCTCCACTTCTCTGAAGGCTCTGTGCCCCTCAGCTGTTCAGTCACTCACTGCACATACATGCTGTGGGATTTCATCACAGAGAACCCACTGCCCTCACTGGCCATGAACTCACCTGATGACACTGCTCAGCCACCCTGCCCCCGGCTTCCTTCTGCCCAGGATCAGAGGCATGACTTCACTGGTCAGGGGTCTCCTCCATGTGTCACTGCCCCTAGTGATCCTCTGTCCCCACCTGGTTTCCATGCTTTACCACTCCTTACATTTAGAGTTTGTCAACAGTTGGTGCCTGTGCCCAAGCCATTCGCCCCTGTGGCATCTAGTGAAGTCATGCATTAACCCCCTCTGCACTTACTGGCTTCTGGGCCAGTGAAAAGCTCTGGTCACTAGGACAGTCTCAGCATGATGCCGAGCTGACCTTTGGCCAGCTCCATAGCTTGGCCCCATTACTCGGGCTTCTCAGATGTAAAGCAGGCATCGTCAGAGAACCCTCAGGGGCTCTTGTGTCCACGAGGTGGCCCGGCTGTCGCCACTAACGCTAGTGCCTGAGTGGGCACCTGCTTCTTTGAGCCCGCTCAGTCAAGACGTGCTGCTCGTTCCTGCCTTGTCTTGCTTGGCTCAGGCGGTAATGGCTCTGTTGCGCAGTTCCTACAGTGTCTCTGTACCTCCCCTGGTGACCCTTGGTGGTCCTGCTAGTGCAGAACAAGTGGCAGGGCTGCTGATCTCTGTGTGACTGTGTTGGTGAGCTCTGTATTGTCTTGAGTCTCCAGCGCACTGGTCTGGGCCAGCTGGGGTTGATCCCGTGTCCCTGTGCCACTGCTCACGGCCAGTGATCAGCACGATCCCCAGCCACCATTCCAGCTCAGCAGTGAGCAGGGCATTGCAGTGTGGCACAGGGAACAAATGGTCGTCACTTGTTGTGTTACCAAGTTTGTCAGAGCGTTATCTGCACCTGGAGAGCACACCATTCTCACCCCGTGTTTCCTCTTTCTGGTACACCAGTCTCCCCAGACTCAGCAGATAGCAGAAGATGGCCCTTCCCCGAGAGGCCAGATCTGCCCATGCAGCCTGGGAGCCCCCACCTCTCCATTTCACCTAGTGCAGCTGTGGGGTGCCCCTGGTGTCTCTCCTTCCGCTTTACTGTGCCCCCCCATGACTTGTCCTCCAGGAAGGTTGGGCCCCAGTGCAGCACTCCTGTGCTGCTGTGCCCCAGGGCCTTACCCAGTGCTGATACGTGGAGGCAATTACTGGATCCTTGTTGGGGGCAGACCATACAGTAATAGGTTGGGCACAGTAAGTTTAGAGACCCTAAGCAGGTGTAGTGTTACCCAGGAGGGGTAACTGTTGACTTGTAACAGGTTAAGGATTGTTTTTCCTTCTCTATGCAGAACTGTGCAGTTCGAACACATCACATGGTTGCTGTGGCATAAAGGAGACAGAAATGCGGAATGAGGCTCACAAATGCTCTTCTGCTTTTGTTCTCCTAGGCACTGTTCACTGCTGTCTCAAGATGGTTTGATATCTGAAGTACACTCTCATCAACCATGATGGCGACACAGACATTAAGTATAGACAGCTATCAAGATGGACAGCAGGTGAGAACCAGAGCTCTATTCTGCATCCCCCTTCCCTCCAGTTGACCTGGCACTAAGGCCAGCAGCTTTGCTTGCTCACCATTCTGTCCCTGTGAGAGTGCACGTTGAATTTTAAGCACTAGTGCACATTTGTTATAAGTCAGTGCTCAGAAGGAGTTTCTTAGGAATTTTACTACACGTGTGTTTGTATGCATGTATGCACACACATGCATGCATATGTATACATGGAGGTCAGAGGTTGATGTCAGGTGTCTTCTTAAATCACTTTCTACCAGTCTCACTGAACCTGGGACTAGCCAGTGTGGCTTAGACTGGCTGGCCAGCAAGCCCTGGGTTCCTCCTGTCTTCTCCTCAACTCGTTTTTTTGTGTGCGTGCTGGGCATTAAACTCGAGGCCTCATGCTTGTGCAGCAAGCACTTTACCAACTAAGCCATCTTCCCATCCCTGGAAAGTTTACTTCTTGAGGACAGAGTTCATTAGTATTGTGACTTACAGCTTTTGTGTGTGTGTGGTAGTGGTTTTGGGGATTGAACCCCAGGGACTTATGCTTGTAAGATAACCACTCTACCAACTGAGCTGTATCTCTGGCATCCGTTGTGGCTACTGAAGAAAAGCTGGGCACTTGCCTAGTGTTTGTGAAATCCTGGGTTTGATCCTCAGCATGGGGCAGGTGGATGTTTTTGTTTGTCTGCAGTACTTAGGGATGGAATCCAGGGTCCCTTGCATGCTTGGCCAGCACTCTGCAGTGAGCTTGTTGTGCTGACTGTGATTAGGAAGTTTGGTTGTTTGTTCCTTTGTTGAGACAGAGTCCCATCCTGTAGCCCAGATCAGCCTTGAACTCACAGTCTACTTGTCCTGGTGTCCTAAATGCTGGGAATACAGGTGTGCTCCATGTGCCAGGCTCTCAGTGTTTGTTTGTTTGTTTTAAGAAACATTGATTTTCAGAGACATCAATTTGAGAGACAGGACCTGAACAAAGACAGCTGACTCTGCATCCATCAAACCGAGCATGATCATGGTCCATTCTGGGAGCTCATCCTTGGCATTTCTCTCAGAACTGTGCTCTTTGATTTTGTCGTTTGTCTTTTATTTATTTATTTTTTTATGTGTATGAGTGTTTTGCCTATATAGATGTAAGTGCATCTGTGTCGTGCAATGCCTGCAGAGCCCAGAAGAGGGCATTGTAGCCCCGGGATCTGGAGTTATGGACAGTTGTTAGCTGCCATGTGGGTGCTGGGAACTGAACCCTGGTTCTCTGGAAGAGCAGTTAGTGTGCTCTTAACTGCTGAGCCATCTCTCCTGGCCTGGAACTGTGCTAGAACAAAGGCCTTACTCCATATTTATTGAAACAGTGCATCCAGCATGACATGAGAAAGAGAGGAGCCTGTCTTACCAGAGGATTTTCCCTTTCTGGTCCCTGCTGACCTACAATAGCATCCACAGCCACAAACAGATGTTATCAGTCTAGTCCCTGCTGTTTTCACACAGACGGGAGAATCTTTTGTTTCCAGAGAACTCCTTGCTTTCAGCACTTGATATTTTTACCACACATGGGCACGCATGTGCTCACACGTGCACACACACTGTCCTGAGTCGTGGTCAAGGAAGGGGCATAAGATAGCAAAGCTGGGGCTGGAGAGAATCTGAAGCCCTCTTCTGACCTCCGCGGCATTGCACAACACGGGTGCACTCACATACATGCAGGCAATACACTCATACACATAAAATAAAAACAGTAGGGTACTGGAGAGAGGGCTCAGTGGTTAAGAACACTGGTTGTTCTTGCAGAAGACCCGGGTTCAAATCCCAGCACCCACATGGCAGCTAACAGCTGTCCATAACTCCAGTCCCAGGGGATCCCACAGCCTCTTCTAACCTCCACGGGCATTGCACAACATTGTACTTACCTACATGTAGGCAATCCATTTGCACACATAAAATAAAAATAATAAATAAAATATTTTTAA